CTTGATTCTTCCTTTTATAATCGAAATCTAGAGTTACAATTTTTTTATCAGTTGATGCGAATCCAAATTTAACTAGAACAATCACGACTCACTAGTGATTTTAGTTACTAAGATAAGATCGTAAAGAGCTTCACCATCTTTCCTATTATTGCATGCGTGTTTGTAAGTATAAATGATTTTGTTTGTGAGAAACTGAGAATACCAATTAAAATCTCTACAGCATGCAAACTTATTACGACGTACGAGTCACCTATAAACGTCACAGAAGAAACTTTTCTGGGTACAAAACGGGCCTTACTGTTTTGTAGGCAGACAAAATGGGCTTTTTTCAGTAACTGACCAGATCCAAATCCAAAAAAACAACTGTTCTTGTTTTTTTTCAATCAAAAGAAAAAGGGTAAATTTGTTGAATAACCAAAAAAAATTGTAGTTTAGAAAGTAACCAAATGCTTAGAGAGACATAGGGGGAGATAGAGAGAGAAAATGGTTAGTTTGTAGATTATAGAATTGTTTTTGGTTATTAAACCAAATTTCTCAAGAAAAAAACTAGTTCAACAACCAATTTTGTTTTCTCTTACAACCATTTTGAATTTTTATTTTATTTTGACGTCATTAAAATTCTGAAATTAATACTTATTTAAAACTCGTTCAAGATGGAGAGAGAAGCAACAAGCATATTAAATATTTGTATGTATCTACGCATCTATACCGAATATGTTTTCCTTTTGCATAAAACGTTTGGATGCATATATAAACTGAGAAATATACCTTTTTGGTCAACAAAATTGAGATAAACATGATCGAAATTTCCGTAAAAATCTATACGTGTCAATATCATATTGTAGATTATTTATCTGATTTCGAACACACATATATATATATATATATATCTATTAATATAGTATATGATTGGAACAGGAGTTTCACGTTGCCCACAAACACATGCCAAGACAAGCTCAGCAACAAAGAGTTGTGGTGGGCAAAAGCTTAGAGATTGCGTGAACAAACTGTCTACACGGAAACGGATTTTCATTTAAGCTTCATTTTATTTATTTATTTTGATGCATAACTCGAAAATAATGACATTAGGTAAGGATTAACTTTTGTTGACAGGTACAATTTGCATTTGGTAACCGGTGCAACGCACATGTACGTTTATCATGTATGTATTTAGACAAAGGTCAAAATTGCAGCTACGGATTAGAAAAAAAATAAAAAAATATGCCAACTATTTCAAGGTTAAGAAATATGAATACGTTATACTTTTATTCATTACAAACGTAAACGAGAATCTCAATTACTTGTATCCTTTGCAAATGTAAATTAAGTCATCAATCTAGTCGCAGTGAACGTAACTTTAAATTGTTTCGAGTAGCTAGCTCTCCATAAAGATTCAAAGAATTTGATAGTATTATTTTTTTAGTGGAAAGAAACTTAATTTTTTTTTTTTTTTGAACTTTGACTTAATTTTCTTTCTATGATTGGAATATCTTATACGTGTTGCCGTTATTTTGAAATAATGAAAATTTATAATTTTTATTGCGATAATATTATTTGGTTTATGGCTAGGGTTCGATGTTCGAACCGTATACACGTGTACGTGATGGAGCATATATAGTGATAGAGTTTAGTGGTTTGCGTTAATTAATCACAACGTCACTGTTTACTTTAAAACTGTAGTTTGAAGAATACATGTGTGAGTTGTTTGCAAAACAAAAAAAACATGTGTGAGTTGTTGATAGAATATAATTTCAAAATACTTTTACTCATAAACTGTTCAAATTAGAAATTATCTTATGGTTTTCCTCAGGTTTTAGCTGGATTTTATTTGTAGTTGAGCTAAATGTGACGACTCGTTACATTTTTGTAAGAAAGCGTCAATGTTGATTTTGAGGGACTGTCATGGAGTCAGAAATGTTAATTGTGACTTGTGAGAAACCAAACAAGATTTGTATATATTGATATATCACCATGCGAGGTAATAATAATGGTCGGTAATTTCTGTTTACACAACGGCCTACTCTTTTATGAAAATGTAAACAGTTCAATTTTTTTTTTCCTGGTTTGCAGTTTTTATAAAACTCAGAGCAGGTATGGTATCAAAATAACATTCAAGATTTTCTTATCGTCGCATTATTGTGGCTTTATTATTTTATTTTTGGAATGACATGTGACACATCCAATGTTGGCAATGGCATAGATTCCCAAGACAAACATCCTTTTTGTTTTTTTGGTTTCTATCTCAAGTTGATGATGAAATCTCTCAGTTTCTATTCTATACAGTAAAAAACCACTGAACTTATTCTGACATTGCCGCATTTGTCATGTTAACTTTTTCTAAATTATCATATTACCGCATTTATACAGTAAAAACCAAGAATGTAAAATATTGATTGTTGTAGACTTCAGTAGTCTAGAGTACTATCAACTGATCACAGCCATTCTGAAGTCATCTACAAGCTTAATTTTTTTTCGAGTGCTGATATTTTTTACTTTCTTAGAAACATTCTGTTAAATAAATTGAGGAGATGCTCATAATTGTTTTATTCTTAGTAGTTTATAATTTAAATTCAACTCTACTATTAACCACGTTAAGATTTAAACGGAAAACCAATTAGTGGTGTGTGATCAAATTTAACTAAATATATCTTATACATGGATTATATCTTGTCGTATGATTGATATAAAGTTCTAAACCAACATAAATTTGTTTTCTTTCGCAACGAAAATATCAAATCTTCAGAATATCCGTCGGAGTTAATATAATAAGTATAACATATCCGATCCTATTATACGACTACGTGTTGAACTGGCTATGGGCTGGCTATGTTTGTAGTGGGATTGTCCCACATAAGCTTAATAATTGCACGTTAAACCATAAAATAATTACATCTTGATTAGAATCACTAGGACACTAACACTTTTCCAAAAGGTTGGAGAAACTACATCTCTCGTTTTGAAAGACTAAAACCTAAACCATCTCAATAACTTAACCAACCAAATAAAACTAGAATCAGATACCAAAATCACTAAAGAAGAGTAAACTATTTTTAAGTTCCGGAAACATTGAACAAACAATATTCCATTGTATAGTGTAAGTATAGTTGACGAATGTGAACTCTCATGACGGCGAGGAAAGCATAATCGAAATAACGGTATAATGATTTAAATATATATTTAGCCCACAGAATTCAATATCCTTTGGTTTCTAGAATATAGCTCAGCTTCAAAACTATCGAAAAATAGTCTCATTTCTTTATATATTATTGTTAGTATTGACGTGGGTACATTAATAATTATAGTAGGGCCGATGCTAACGTTGATGAAGAGAGAATCCTAGTGTATGATGAAAAAAATCATCATGACGTCCACAACGAGAGAATCCAACTTGTAATATTATTGTACCTTAAACCTCTACTTTACCTTAACCATTGGAGCATATTTATATTTAACGTTTACTTTTAAATGTAGTTTGACTAATTATGTTGCTGAACATAATTTTCAAAGTAAAGGGATCAACATGTGCAGCTTTTTTAATCAGTGCTCTCTACCTAATAGTAAATATCTTCTTCCATTTCGGGGACTTTTTTACTTGTCAATTCACCTTTATGTAGTCACTTTCGAATATAATTTGTTTGTTATGATTTTTACTCTTACACCTCTCGCTCTGCTTGTTGAAAAGCTTTTGAATGCGCAATTCTTACCTGTCACCTGAAATTTTGTAGCCTTCTTAAACTTTAAAACAGTCGAAAAGGTTAATTTAGGTCTTACTCTTGCAAACCCTAGAAACTGAAACTGAAACTGAAGTCAAGTGTATATATGCTGATCTCCAAAATGATGAAACATTTTGTTGTATAAAATAGAAATGTACTGGTTAAAGATGTTGTAATCACAAAACCGGTTTAGCCCGAGGCAGTCTGATACTGATTTAGTTAGCGTGGCTTTGTTGCCAAACAAACAAAAAATGAGGGGTTTTCACGTTAGGTCAGGTTGCTTGACTCTTATGGATTAATAAAATCTTATGCCGAGGAAAACATATCTAATTATAATTTGTTTAATCAAATATATACAAAAACTGATCCATGAGGTTTTGCCCTAACACAAAATCTCTAATAAAATAATAAAGAACAATTTTTAACAAGTTTGTGAACCATGTGATATTGAAATGATAGCACTATCTATAGTACTTAACATGCCACATTGTACCAAATATTAGACAACATGCATGTGGGAGCTCAGACTAATCTTGAAATTTTTGTGTGTATCCAGTAAAACTTTATGTGTGATACACATTATATAATATACATATATACAGTCATACAGATAATATGTTTTGATATGTTTCCAAGTGTAAAAATTGAATGGTAGGTAAATGTATGAATATTTGGTTGTGTGAATAAGAGATTTATTGAAGGAGAATAGGACGTGGCAAATTACAAATATATAAGCTAAAAAAAAACTCTTGCAACCACAAGAAAAGGGTATAAAAAAGACAAAAAATAGTAATTGGTACATGGGGAATTACAAAGAAGCTGAAAACCTTGCAACCACATGAAATAAACAAATGTCATTGTCACTAGATAACGAAATCACACTGTTGTGTTGTCTCATGCCTCTGTGCTTGTTTAGATCTGATCATCGATGAAGAACCACACATAAAGCAAAGCCACATTTATAAATAAGACCCAATCAATCCCCATCCCTCTTCACATGACCATTGAATCGAATCTCCTCTCATTTCTTCTTTTGTTTTGTTGGAGTTAGATAAATTCAAAGTACCAAAAAAGTGTCAAAACCCTTATCGCTACAGCCTCCACCACCATCTTCATCTCTCCTTATAACCCACTCTACTTCTCTTTCTTCTCTCTGTCTCTCTCTCTCTCTCATTATTCTCTCTGCTCAATTAAAAGATGGTGAGTTTAAGTCCTTTGTCTCTGTTTTCTTGTTTTCTTGCTGACTCTGTTTTCTCTGTCTTAATGGCTTTTTGATTGTCTGTAAAGGTTCATGTGTCGTCGCATGGAGCAAAAGATGGCTCAGAAGAAGCCTTCGACTACAGAGGAAATCCACCGGATAAGTCCAAAACCGGTGGATGGTTAGGCGCCGGTTTAATCTTAGGTAGATTTCATACAAGAACTAAAATTTCCTCTGTTTTCTTTCTTTTAACAAAAAGTTTCATCTGTTTTTCTCTTATAACTGAAAATTTCCTCTGTTTCTAAACTCCTCTGTCTTGTCTCTTTTAACTAAATGTGAAGGGAGTGAGCTATCAGAGAGAATATGCGTGATGGGCATATCAATGAATCTAGTGACGTACCTTGTCGGAGATCTACACATCTCATCGGCGAAATCAGCGACCATAGTCACCAATTTCATGGGAACACTCAACCTCTTAGGGCTTCTCGGTGGCTTCTTGGCTGACGCCAAACTCGGTCGCTACAAGATGGTCGCAATCTCAGCCTCTGTCACAGCTCTGGTAAAACCCTAAACCATGTCCTTAAGCTCGACTGGCTTCAAGAAAATTCTTGCTTTGACTCTTTAACTTCTGTGAAAACAGGGAGTGTTGCTATTGACGGTGGCTACAACCATTCCGAGCATGAGGCCACCACCGTGTGACGATTTCAGAAGACTTCACCATCAGTGCGTAGAAGCAAACGGACACCAGTTAGCTCTTCTCTACGTAGCTCTCTACACCATAGCTCTCGGCGGAGGAGGAATCAAATCAAACGTCTCCGGCTTCGGTTCCGATCAATTCGACACGAGCGATCCGAAAGAAGAGAAACAGATGATTTTCTTCTTCAACAGATTCTATTTCTCGATCAGCCTCGGATCTCTCTTCGCCGTGATTGCTCTGGTTTACGTCCAGGACAACGTCGGTAGAGGCTGGGGATACGGGATCTCGGCCGCGACTATGGTGGTCGCGGCCGTGGTTTTGCTCTGCGGAACCAAACTGTACCGTTTCAAGAAACCTAAAGGAAGCCCTTTTACTGTTATATGGAGGGTTGGTTTCTTGGCGTGGAAGAAAAGAAAGCAGAGTTACCCTCCGCATCCGAGTCTTTTAAACGGTTTTGACAACACAACGGTTCCTCACACAGAGAGGCTAAAGTGTTTAGACAAAGCCGCGCTTGTCGTAGACGAAAGCTCTCCTAGCTCGAAAGACTTTAGAGAGAAAGATCCGTGGACCGTATCGACGGTTACACAAGTCGAAGAAGTGAAGCTCGTTGTGAAACTGATACCGATTTGGGCAACGAACATTCTCTTCTGGACGATTTACTCTCAAATGACGACTTTCACGGTGGAACAAGCCACGTTTATGGAACGAAAGCTCGGGTCTTTCACCGTTCCTTCAGGGTCTTACTCTGCTTTCCTCATCCTCACAATCCTCCTCTTCACTTCCTTAAACGAGAGAGTCTTTGTGCCTTTATCAAGAAAGTTCACAAACAAACCTCAAGGGATCACCAGTCTCCAGAGGATCGGAGTAGGGCTTGTGTTATCAATGGCTGCGATGGCGGTAGCTGCGATTATAGAGAACGCTAGACGCGAGGCAGCGGTTACTAGAGATATGAAGATAAGCGCGTTTTGGTTGATTCCACAGTATTTCTTGGTTGGTGCGGGTGAAGCGTTTGCTTACGTTGGACAGCTTGAGTTCTTCATAAGGGAAGCACCAGAGAGGATGAAATCGATGAGTACAGGGTTGTTCCTAAGCACGATCTCGATGGGATTCTTCGTGAGTAGCTTGCTTGTTTCGCTTGTGGATAACGTAACGCACAAGATGTGGCTTAGAAGCAACCTTAACAAGGCGAGATTGAACTACTTCTACTGGTTACTTGTTGTCTTGGGAGCGTTGAATTTCTTGATCTTTCTTGTGTTTGCGATGAAGCATCAGTATAAAGGTGATGTGATTAGTGTTGGAGTTGATGATGATGACTCAGTGGGGAAGGAGAAGGAGAAGGAAACAGAGACAGAGAAAGAGAAATCTGAGGTTGAGCTTAAGGACATTCCTTAAAAAAACAGAGCTTTTTCTTGTTATTGCTTTGAAGATTTCATTCTGTTTTGTACTTTTAGTATATTGTGTGTATGTAATAGAAGAATTACTATATGGTTTGGATTGTATTTTTGTAAAATTTGAAAAACATTTATAAATGTTTGTTTTTCCCTCATTTCAAGAATGATATAAAACGAAGTGTTTCGATGAGTTTCAGAGGTTTACTAGAGGTTTTTCATAAACGGAAAGTTTTACCGGCGAGTTTCAGAAGAAAAAGACGAAAGAAAGAAAGATTCGGAAAGAAACGATGGTTGATGATGACTCGCCGTTGCCGGAGACGGAAATTAAAGAGAAATTGATCAGCTCCTTTATCAAGAACACATCTCCGTCGAGAGAAACAGCTATAACCTTTCTTGAAACTCACCATTGGGATCTCGACGCTGCCGTCTCAGCCTTCACTGAAAACAATGTCCTCGCCGACGCCGCCGCGGAGTCAAATGGAATCGTCGCTGCTCGAACTATACCTTCGAATCTCCGAATCAACATCCCTGTTTCATCTCATTCTCCGCCTCGTAACTATTCCGATCACGTTCCGTCGCGATTACGGTCTCGATCACCACTGCCTCCTTCTCTTGCCAGATACCCTCTCGCTTCAAACCAAGAACTCGCCAGAAAAATCTATTTTCTCTGTGGTCTATCCGGCGGAACTGATAGCAATTCCGACGAAGCAGAGGAGGACTACAACGGGGGAGATCAAAGGTAACTTTCTCTCCAAGCTTCCATTATCTTTTAACATTTCTGTTTTGCATCACCAGTATATAAAATTGGGAATCTGAACGAAATTGAATCTTCTTTAACAATATCTTCAAAAATCTTGCTCAATGGCATCGATCTTGCCTACTATAGTCTTGTGTTTAGAGAAATGTCTGTTGGTTTAGATAACAATGAGGTTTTGACTTTTTGAATATGAATTTGTTTACTCTTTAGTGGGACGATTGTGCAAGATCCTAAGAATGATGATGATGTTGATGATGATGACGAAGCTAAGGAGTCAGATGTACAAACACCTATACAAACAACTTATAGAATTATTTTACCTGAGCCACAAGTGGTCTTCGAGTATATTGTAACTATATGGAGGAATGGTTTCACTGTCGATGATGGTCCGTTAACGACGCTGGATGACCCGGACGATGCGCATTTTCTTGAGGTTATACTTACTTACTATATTCAATATCCTTTTAGCCATTCTTCAACTTGTGTTCTATAACAAACATAATGTTCCATGTCGATGCTAGATCATAGAAAGTTTGGAGTCTCCACGTGACCTCAATCCACAAGATACTAATCTCCGTGTTCGTGTCAAACTCATCAGGCGTCAAGAAGAAGACTTCAATGTGTGTATACATGTCTCCTTCCTCTCTTTCTCTTACCGGTCAGGTTTATTAAAGCTTATTGTTCTTTATCTTCTGACATACAGGACTCACCGTTCCAAGGTGTCGCAAGAACTCTAGCCGGACCAGACCCTGCACCCACTGAGCCACAAGCTTCGTCACCGCCACCATCAATGGACCTAGTGGTAGATCCAGCAGCGCCAATTACCTCGATCCAGCTCAGATTAGCGGACGGTACACGCATTGTTTCCCGGTTTAATACTCACCTCACCGTTAGAGACGTACGAGGGCTCATAGACGAGTCCAGACCAGGTGGCTCCAGAGACTACCAGCTACTCATCATGGGGTCTCCTCCTAAACCGGTGCTTGACTTTGACCAGACCATTGAGAAAGCTGGCATCTCCAACTCTGTCCTCATCCAGAAATACTAAGCTTTTTTAAGTACATAAGATCAAATTCTTTTAGTTACATTTTTGGTACATATCATTAGGAACCTCATTTGTGAAGTGTTTGACCCTCATTTTAGTTAGTCTTTGTAGTGTTTGACCCTCATTTTTAACTCGAACGATTTTTTTTCCTTGATTCGGTAAACATAAGTTTCAATCGTCAATCTTATACAAACTAATATTAAAAAAATTCTTGTTGGATCATTTCAAGAATTGGCCAATTTTACTTTTTTCAGTTAAAAAAAAGAGTGTTCTAATAGCAAGAAGTGTCTAAAATATAAAACAAAGTTCAAAAAGTGTAAAGAAATCTTATTTCGCTGTGTTCTCCTTTTTTGTGATAAAAGAAAAAAAAATTAATATTGAAAAAACCTGGATTGTATTTCTTGTAAAAATTTGAATTTGTTTTATAATGTTTGATTTTCCCTCATTCTAAAAAATTCTATAAAACGACGCGTTTCGTTCTCTTTATAAGGGGTTTTTCATAAAACGGAAGTTTTTACCGGTGAAATTCAGAAGAAAAGGAGGAAAGAAAGATTCGGGAAGAATCGTCTCCTTGCGATGGCTGATGATGACAACTTGCCGTTGCCGGCGACGGAGATTGTAGAGCAATTGATCAGCTCCTTTATCAATTCCACATCTCCGTCTAGAGAAAGAGCTATTTCCGTTCTTCATACTCACCAATGGGATCTCAGCGCTGCCGTCTCGGCCTTCACTGGAAACAATGTCGCTGACGCCGCCGCCGCCAAGTCCAATGTATTTAACCCTAGCGATGAACAGCTCCACGGAACCCTCGATGCTCGAACTCGGATTTCGAATCTTCGAATCGATATCCCTGTTTCACCCCACTCTCCGTCCGGTTACATCCCGCCGGAGTCGTCTCCGTCGCGGTTACGATTACCGTCTGCATCGAATCCTTCAGATGCGAGAAACCCTTTCAGTTCAGGGCGTGCGGCGGCCGATAAACCGTGCGAGAGCCAGACGATTGAACGCCGTCAAAGCGCCGGGAACATCCGTCCGCCCGCTGATATCTCCGGCGGAAATGACAACGAAGAAGAGCAAAGGTTATTCTCTCCTCAAGCTTCATTATCTTTCAGCATTTCTCTTTTTGCGAAATTGGGGAAAATGGGAATCTGAAGGAGATGTTTTCAATTGAGACAAATCGTTGATTTTTCCAGAGTTGAAAGAATTGTGCCATTGATGAATCCATGAATCTTGCGTATTGCTAATAGGATTTTGATGGGTTGCTTTCAAGTCTTGCGCAAAGGTTTTGAATATGTGAATGTGTTTACTCTTTAGTGGAACTATTGTGCAAGATCCTAAGAATGATGAAGATGACAAAGCTAAGAAGGCAGATGTAGAAACTTGCGTATTGCTGATAGGACGATTGTGCACAAGATCTGAAGGAATCGTTAATGTCTCCAGAATCCATGAATCTTGCGTATTGCTGATAGGATTTTGATGGGGGTTGCTTTAAAGTCTTGTTCAAAAGCTAATAGTCATGTGCTTAGAGAAAAAGCCTGTTCGTTAAGATGTGACAAAAGGTTTTTTTGATTTTGGTATGTGTTTACTCTATAGTGGGACGATTGTGCAAGATCCTAAGAAAGATGAAGATGGTGATGACACAGATGAGGAATCTGATGTTGAAACACCTGTAGAACAATCATCAAGACCTGGAGAGGTCTGGACGACGACGCAGATTGTAACTATCTGGAGGAATGGTTACACTGTCAATGACAGTCCGTTATTTACGCTGGATAACCCGGCGAATGCAGAGTTTCTTGAGGTTTCTTCTTACTTCTTTGCACGTGTATTGTGTCATTACATGATCTTCTCCACTTGAGGGATAACATAGATGATGTTTTCCATTGTCGAAATGCCACAGAGGGTACAGAGCTTGCATTCCCCACGTGACCTCAACCCAATGGATATGCAGATCCGTTATCGTGTCAAACTCATCAGGCGTCAAGAAGAATACTTCAATGTACATCAGGCGTTTGGAAGAAGGAGACTGATTATCCCATTCCAAGGTGTCGGAAGAACTCTATCAGGACCACCAGACTCTGCGTCCACTGAGCCACCAGCTTCATCCGAGTCAATGGCCACTACACAACGACCACTATTAATGAACCGAGTGGTGGATCCCGCAGCGCCAACAACCTTGATCCAGCTCAGATTAGCGGACGGCTGTGTTATATTCCGGTTTAATACTCACCAGACCGTTAGAGACGTCATAAACGCCGGTTTAATTGGTGACTCCAGAGACTACCAGTTACTCATCATGGGGTCTCCTCCTAAACCGCTGCTTGACTTTGACCAGACCATCGAAAAGGCTGGCATCTCCAACTCCGTTCTCATCCTGAGATTCTAACTCTTTTTTTCTTTTCTTAAGTACATAAGATCAATTCTTTAAGTACATTTAGTAAATATCATCAGAAAACTTTTTTTGACCTTTTTTTTTGTATAGGCTTGGTCTTATAAGTGTTTGACCCTCATTTTTGACTAGGACCAACAGTCAACGATTTGTTTTCCTTGATTCATTATGCCAATATATGGTAATGCTATACGTAAAGTTTCAAATTTTCGTTTCTCAATTTTGTAAAAACGTTGTAAGAAAAAAAAAAAATCTGATTGGATCATTTCAAGAATTGACCAAATTAGTGATCCGTTTACTTTGAGGTTATATTGGTAAGTTTTGACTTATCTGCCTATCTGTCAAAACCGTGCGTGTCCCATGTTTTTGATATTTTTCGCTGTGTTTCTGTTCTCCTTTTTTTGCGATAAAGGAAAAAAACATTTAATATTGAAAATATCTGGATGTTCAGGTTGTTATTTCGATTCAGAGGATAAAGTGTGTCATGAATTAACTGTAAAAATCCGTGGAGAGGGAAGAGAGACGATTGATTTTTTTTTTCTTCTTTCTTCCCTTTTGTTTCTTCTATAATTGTTCATTACAACCTTAAATCTCTCTTACTTTTGTTTTCTTTTTTCTTACAGATTATTTGTTGTTCTGTCTGGATTTCGTTTTGCCTTTTCCCCCCTTTCTTCTCCTACCTTCTGCTCTCTCTCTCTCTCTCTCTCGCTCGATTCAATTTGAGCGAGAAAGGAGCGGCCTTTTCTTACAGGGTTTATCATTACCAGATCCCTTCTGGCTAAAAGCTTATATTTTTTGTAAGGTTTATTTGATTTCCTTTCTCGAGTTGCCTAGATCTCTCTCTTTAACTCATCTGCGGAAATGTAAGCTATTTTTCTCTTCTTAATTCGTCTCTTATCTCTCCAATTTCATTTCTTAGATTCGCTTGCTTGATCTTAATTCGTTTTGATTTTTGGGCTCAGGGTTCAAGCTCGTTCCATGAACTGAGATTAGGGTTTCATTCAGGAAGCAAATCTGGTTATGCTTAGATAATAAAGTGCGGGAATTTTTACCCTACTCAGAGCTGAAAAGGGTGTTTTCGATATGATCAAACAGATATTTGGGAAATTGCCCAGAAAGCCTTCGAAACCATTGCAAAATGACTCGAATGGTGAAGGAGCTGTTAACTCCTACTACGCACCGAATCCGAGTAGTGGTGGTATCTCGAAGCCTTCTTCTTCAACATCTTCGAAACCATCATCATCGGGTTCACGTGTAGCAAACGGGACTACTCTTGCTCCTCCTAACTCACTGATCTCTAACAGGAAGATTCAAGCTGGTCCGTTTCCTCCTAATGGTGTATACGAGGCCTTGCCTAGCTTCAGAGATGTTCCTGTCTCGGAGAAACCTAATCTCTTTATCGGGAAGTTGAGTATGTGCTGTGTCGTCTTTGACTTTACTGACCCGTCGAAGAATCTCAAGGAGAAAGAGATCAAACGGCAGACACTGCTCGAGCTCGTCGACTATGTCGCGTCGGTTGGTGTGAAGTTTAACGATGTTGCGATGCAGGAGCTCACGAAGATGGTATCGTTGAATCTGTTCAGAACATTCCCTTCCGCGAATCACGAGAGTAAAGTTCTTGAAATGCACGATATGGACGATGAGGAGCCTTCTCTGGAGCCAGCTTGGCCTCACATTCAAGTTGTCTACGAGATTCTGCTCAGATTCGTGGCTTCTCCCATGACCGACGCAAAGCTCGCAAAGAGATACATCGACCATTCGTTCGTCTTGAAGCTCTTGGACTTGTTTGATTCCGAAGATCAAAGAGAGAGGGAGTATTTAAAAACCATTCTCCACCGAGTATACGGGAAGTTCATGGTGCATCGACCTTATATCAGAAAGTCGATAAACAACATCTTCTACAGATTCATCTCCGAGACAGAGAAGCATAATGGCATTGCGGAGTTGCTAGAGATTCTTGGAAGTATAATCAATGGATTCGCTTTGCCTTTGAAAGAAGAGCACAAGCTCTTCCTCGTGCGAGCCTTGATTCCTCTTCACAAGCCTAAATGCGCATCGCTCTATCACCAACAGCTTTCTTATTGCATCGTTCAGTTTGTAGAGAAAGACTTCAAGCTCGCTGATACCGTTATAAGAGGCCTTTTGAAGTATTGGCCTGTGACTAACAGCTCAAAGGAAGTAATGTTTCTTGGAGAGTTAGAAGAAGTCTTGGAAGCAACTCAAGCCGCTGAGTTTCAACGCTGTATGGTCCCTTTGTTCCGACAAATCTCTAGATGTCTCAACAGTTCACATTTTCAGGTCCGGAGTCTTTGGTTTATCATCATCGTAGCTTCATATATATATTGAAACAATTCTTGTTACCTATAGAGAAAGTTGTGTACTTTTGCTTTGTTCAGGTCGCTGAGAGAGCATTGTTTCTATGGAACAACGATCACATAAGGAACCTGATCACACAGAACCATAAAGTGATTATTCCTATAGTCTTCCCAGCTCTTGAGAGAAACACACGCGGACATTGGAACCAAGCTGTACAGAGTCTGACTCTTAACGTGAGGAAAGTACTGTGCGAGATAGACCAAGCTCTCTTCGACGAGTGTTTAGCTAAGTTCCAAGTGGAAGAAGAGAAGAAAACAGAGGTTAAGGCGAAACGGGAAAGAACATGGAAGCGGTTAGAAGATTTGGCTGCTTCAAAGACCGACGAGGCATTGCTTGTCCCAAGATTTGTTTCCTCAGTCAATCTTGCAAGCGGCTCTGTATCCACAGGGTAGGCGGTTTCTGCTCTGTTTTTTTTTTAATCAGCTTATAGTTCAAATGATAACCGATACAGATTGAACCGGGTTTGATGTGGTTTGGAGCAATCTGGATCGGTTTTCCTACAGTAATCTCGTTTCTCGTGGGTGCATAGTGCATACTTTCTTTAACGATTTTTTTTTTAATTCGATTTCTGGGTTTATTAATTTAGTTGCTTTGGTTCATAGAGAGTAATGGGCAAAATATTGTACTGTAAGGGATGGTTCTTGAGAGACGACTTGTATAATTTGTTTTTTATTATCAAATTATGAAATATTTGATCTGTTTTTCTATTTAGTATAATTATCTGCTGATTTGATTCTAATATTCTAGGATGGATTTTCAGTCTTTATTATATAAGAAAAGATGCTAATACGGTACCAAAAATAAACTGAAAAAGGAAGAAAAGTCAAATTAAAACTAAACTTATTACAAGCATTTCATTTACTAACTGTATTTTTCGGAAATACTAAAACCAAAATTCGGATAGATGATGATGCGTTCACACTAATGTATCTTCCAACAAAAATGGCGGTCTCTTCATATTTTGTCATCTTCTTCTTCTTGACCAAAGACTTCCAAATTCCAGCTGCTTTAACTGATCTTAGTATTAAAACTAAAGAATTTTTCCAATAATTAACAACGCTAATCAAAATTAAATATCTACTAATCATGCTCGTTGAAAATAGTCAACGACGATTTAGTCAACCTTCTCCACTTTTGAATCCCTCTTCTCTCCCACAGAGCACAAACGAAAAAAACAACACAGAGACCTCTGCGAATCAAAGAGCTTCCGGAATTTCGCTCGTCTCTCTCCAGCTATGAAGCTACGAATCCCAATTGCTACTCCTCTTCTTCTTCTTCTTCTAATCTCGCCGTCGTTTCTGTTCTTCGCCGTCGAATCCAAGTGCAGGACAAGCTGCGATTTAGCTTTGGCATCTTACTACCTCGAAAACGGAACAACCCTCACCGTCATTAACAGGAACCTCAATTCTTCGGCCGCGCCTAACGATCAAATCAATTTCGACTCGATCCTCAGGTACAACCCTAAAATCACGAACAAAGATTTGATCGAGATGGGTACTAGGGTTCTCGTGCCTTTCCCTTGCGAATGTCAACCCGGAGATTTCCTAGCCCACGCGTTCAGTTACGGAGTCCAATCGGAAGATACTTACGGCACGGTGGCGACTAGAGGTTACGCGAATCTCACGACGGAGGACTTCCTGCAGAGGACGAACACTTTCCCGGCGACTAACATCCCTCCCTCCGCGACGCTTAACGTGCTGGTGAACTGCTCTTGCGGAGATGAGAGCGTCTCGAAGGAGTATGGGCTGTTCGTTACTTACCCGCTTCGTCCTGAAGACAGCCTCGACTCGATCGCGAGGTCGTCTAATGTATCGGCGGCGACTCTGCAGAGATATAACCCTAATGTCGATTTCAGCTCAGGGAGTGGGATTGTCTTTGTTCCAGGGAAAGGTAAGATTTTTCTCTCTTTCGATGATTGTGACATAGATTCATAGAGTAAGTATTGATTCTTCTGCTTTTGCAGATCCAAGCGGTGCATTTCCACGTTTCAAATCAAGGTTGGTGTTTTTGTTGGTTTTCATTGTATCTCCACTCTTTTAGATTTCTATTACTGATGAATTCTCCTCTTTTTTTTATATGTTTTTGTTTGCAGTAAACAAGGTTGGTTCTTCTCTCCATTTCTGAGCTTTTGATGATTCTTACATGACGATGTGCTGCTTAGGAGAGAGGCTGAGAAAAATGTTTTTGTTGCATAAGAAGGTGGTATTGGTGCTGGAGGTATTGCTGGTGTATGTGTAGGAGTGTTGTTGGCTCTGTTGTTAATAGCTTTCATCATATATTATGCTTACCGAAAGAGCAAGTCCAAGAAACATTCGCTTTCATCTTCTATCCCGTTGTCATCTAAGGCTGATCAGGGTAATGATCTTATTAATTATATATGCACTTCAATGTTCCTTTTTTGTAGCTGGAATTGGGTTACTAAATTTGTCGATCTGCTTTTAGATTCTTCAGCTAGCCTCCAAAATGGGAACTTGGCTGGTACAGGAGTCTCTCCTGGGATTGCTGCCATAAGCGTGGACAAATCTGTTGAGTTTACGTTGGAGGAGCTCGCGAAGGCTACTGATAATTTCAATCTTTCTTTCAAGATCGGGCAAGGTGGTTTTGGAGCTGTTTACTATGCAGAGTTGAGAGGAGAAGTAAGCAGAGTTTTTTTTGTTTATCTTTGTTCATATCAACTAGGTGTAGATTTTTGTTAGGAAAACATTTAAGATTGGGTGTGTATCCGTTCATGTATAGAAAGCTGCAATTAAGAAGATGGACATGGAGGCATCGAAACAGTTCTTGGCGGAACTAAAAGTCTTGACGCGCGTACATCATGTCAACCTGGTAAAGCCCTTTTGTGTTCTCTGCAGATATATCGATTCTTGATCAGGTTTTGTTTTCAGATACCAAACTAGTTATTGTCCTGCAGGTTCGTCTGATTGGTTATTGTGTTGAGGGATCTCTTTTCTTGATCTATGAGTATGTTGAGAATGGCAACCTTGGACAACATTTGCATGGAACAGGTACACAACACAAAGTCCTTTCATAAACAGAGAATCACATCTTCAAGTACTTTCAATAATAGAAACTAAAAGGAGTTTGTTTAAATCTTGACCAGGACGAGATTCGTTACCGTGGACTAAGAGAGTGCAGATTGCGTTAGATTCAGCTAGAGGTTTAGAATATATCCACGAGCACACGGTTCCAGTTTATGTTCACAGGGACATCAAATCTGCTAATATATTGATAGACCAGAGCTTCAGAGCAAAGGTTCCATTCTCAGTTTTCTCATTCACAGTTTCTAATTCGGTTTTGCTTTGCCATGGCGCTTGAGTAACTTCCGTTTTACAACAGGTCGCTGATTTCGGTTTAACAAAACTGACAGAAGTTGGAAGCTCAGCGACACGTGGTGCAATGGGAACATTTGGTTACATGGCACCTGAGTAAAGAGCTTGATCTCATTTCACTCTACATTATGTGTATATAGAGTTACATCATCGTAGTGATGGTCATAAATGTGTAACTACAGGATTGTTTATGGAGAAGTGTCTGCGAAAGTAGATGTATATGCGTTTGGAGTTGTCCTTTACGAGTTGATCTCTGCGAAAGCTGCAGTTGTCAAATTGAACCAAGCTAGTGGTGAATTCAGAGGCCTCGTTGGTGTGGTTAGTATCATTTACTTCCTCGACATTTTTCGTCTTTCTGATTCAGGACATGTTACGGTTTACTTAAACATTTGAGTTTTTCTTACTTTGTTATGCAGTTCGAAGAACTGTTCAAGGAGACAGACAAAGAAGAAGCACTGCGCAAGATTATCGACCCGAGGCTTGGTGATAACTATCCGTTTGATTCGGTATACAAGGTAATCTCTCTTCCCAATTTCTTTTGTCAAATTCTAATAATCCGGTTTAACCGAACCAAAATCTGCAATCGAACTGAAGAAAGCATAATCCAGTCTGGTTTTCTTGATTAGATCAAACCGAGAAAGGAAATAAACCGATTGGAAGGGCATTTTTTTTTAAAAAAAAAACATTCAAATATTGTATTGACTATGAATCTAAACCGAATATTGAAGTTAAACCAAGGCAATGTGGGTGATTTATGTTTTTGGGTTTTGTTCCGGTTTAGATGGCGGAATTGGGGAAAGCTTGTACGCAAGAGAATGCGCAGCTACGTCCAAGCATGAGATACATTGTGGTTGCTTTATCCACTCTGTTTTCGTCTACCGGAAATTGGGACGTCGGAAACTTCCAAAACGACGATCTTGTGAGTCTTATGTCCGGCCGGTAAAGTCTCCGGTTTGCTTGTGTATAGAAATGATTGTTTTTGGTTTTTAACTTATAGAATTATAATTGATTTTTGTATGCAACAAACTATGCGTATATTCCCTCTATACGAACTTTTCCAACGTGACCTGTTGACTTTTGTATAATTTTGTATAAATCATCATTGTCAAGTTCGACATCTACAATGATCTCAGCATCTCCACGCCAATGATTCAAGAAAACAAAATTAGTATTAAAAATTGAACGTGTAATGGATTACCTACGGAATTTGAGTGTTTGCAACATGTTATATGGAGTATGGTTATTACTATAGTATGTTGGATAAGCTTTAACATTATCTTAAGTCTAAGATACCAAATCTAATATGGTTAGGATAAGATAGACTTAAGGGAACTCTATTGTAATTAGGAGTTAGTTAATTCAATAGAGAATAGGATTGGCAATGTGTGTCAAGACTATAAATACCAATGTCGAGCTGTGATATTGATATCGAGAACAAAGGTGTTTAGTTTTTGAGTTATACTTTCTAAACATCAATAAAAGAGAGATATTTTTTTATACATAGTGTGCTTTGTTCTTGGGTACTCTGTTCTTAGATCATTTATTTGGTATCAGAGCTATAGGACAAGATCCATTGACAGGAGCTTGATCAAGAGACTGCAGGCAACCGAGGGAGAAGACAGAACCAAGACATGGGTGATGTCAATTCTCCTGCCCGCCCAAAGGATGTAATTCCTTCTTCCATTCAATGTCCCATGTTAACCGCAACTAACTATACGGTTTGGGTCATGAGAATGAAAGTTCTCCTGCGAATTCACAAAGTTTGGGAGACTATTGAACCTGGTTCTCTATCTCTCGAGAAGAATGATATCGCAATAGGCTTATTGTTTCAGTCAATCCCAGAGGCCTTAATCTTACAAGTCGGTGAGCAAGATTCTCCTAAGGGAATTTGGGGAGCAATAAAATCAAGAAATCTTGGAGCTGATCGTGTTAAGGATGCGAAACTTCAAACTCTCATGTCAGAGTTTGAGAGATTGCGAATGAAGGACACTGAGACAATCGATGGCTTCTCCGGGAAGTTATCAGAAATTGCTTCAAAGTCCGCTGCTCTTGGGCAAACTATAGAAGAACCAAAACTTGTAAAAAAGTTTTTCAATAGTTTACCAAGAAGTAAATATATTCACCTCATCGCTTTACTTGAGCAAGTTCTGGATTTAAACAAAACCAGCTTTGAAGATATCGTCGGAAGACTCAAAGCGTTTGAAGAAAGGGTTTTCGATGAAGAGAATCATACGGAAACACAAGAGAAGGTTTTGTATGCAAAATCAAAAGAACGAAATTCATCTCGAAGCAGAGGACGGGGCAAAGGAGGAAAAGGACGAGGAAAAGGTCAATCTTCACAAGAAAGTACAGATCAGAATCGATCAAAAGACAAGAAAGATAGATCGAAAGTGATCTGCTACAGGTGTGATAGACCCGGCCACTTTGCCTCTAAGTGTCCCACAAGAATACAGAAAGATCAAGAAGCAAATAAGGTCGAAACAGAGGAAGCTGATGCGGCTCTTTATATGCATGAGATCGTATTCTTAAACGAAGGAAAGGTACTTCCAAAGAACTTTGAGACAGCTGCGGAAGAAGAAGGGTTATGGTATCTCGACAACGGGGCGAGTAATCATATGACCGGACACAAGGAGTATTTCTCGGAGCTCAACAAAAGTATTAAGGGAAAAGTAAAGTTTGGCGATGGTTCATGTGTCGAGATAGGAGGAAAAGGATCGATACCTTTTCAAAGAAAATCCGATGAACATAAGCTTGTAACAGATATATATTATATCCCCGAGCTCAAAAGCAATATATTAAGCTTAGGACAAGCAACTGAAGTGGGCTGCGATGTACGGATGAGACAAGATAATCTTACCGTCTATGACCCGAGAGGAAGATTATTGGTAAAAGTAAACCGATCACCTAACAAACTATACAAAATCAAGCTGAAGATAGGCAAACCGATTTGTTTAAGAACCAGTATAGAAGACGACACATGGAAGTGGCATGCAAGGTTGGGACATATAAACTTCAAGACACTGAAGATGATGTCTCAACAAGAAGTAGTACATGGGATGCCTAAGATAAGAGAAGAGAATAAACTGTGCGAGTCTTGCTTAGTCGGAAAGCAAACACAACAGTCGTTTCCGAAAGCAACCATGTTTCGAGCCAAGAAGCCATTAGAACTTCTACAGCAGACCTTTGCAGACCCATCTCACCAGTGACTGCAGCTAATAACAGATACATATTTGTTATTATAGATGACTACTCGAAATATATGTGGACTATACTGATGAAAGAGAAGAGTGAAACGTTTCAGAAGTTCAAATTGTTTCGAAGTCTAATTGAGAAGGAGCTGGGAATGACGATTTTAACTCTAAGAACTGATAGAGGCGGGGAGTTTACGTCAACAGAGTTCCGAGACTACTGCAACGACAACGGCATAAAAAGACATCTAACTGCGCCTTACACACCGCAGCAAAACGGGGTGGTAGAGAGGAGAAATCGGACTCTAATGGAGATGACGAGGAGTATTCTGAAAGCAATGATGGTACCTAATTACTTATGGGGGGAAGCAGTTCGCCACTTGACCTATTTAATTAATCGGGTACCAACGAAGGCTCTTGACAATATTACTCCTTACGAAAGCCTGAAAGAGAAGAAACCGAAACTTGATCACTTGAGAGTTTTCGGATGTCTTGCCTACACAAAGATCGATTCTCATCATCTTAGAAAACTTGATGATAGATCGAAGCCACTGGTAAATCTTAGGTCGAGCCTGGATCCAAGGCATACAGGTTATACAATCCGATAACTCGTAAGGTAGTAGTAAGTCGTGACGTCTTGTTTGATGAAAGCTCAAATTGGAACTGGAACGAGAAAGAAAACAGATCGTATCTAGATCCCGAAATGTTTCAGTTGCGATGGGGAGAAACGTTAGATACCGGAGAAGGACCTGCAGTAGTCAGCAACGATTTGCCTAACGAAAACAACGAAGCCAGTGATGACGAGCATCACGAATACGACAATCACGGAGCAGAGGATAACAACAACGGTGGTGAATCAGAACAACAAGCTGTGCAACGGCCTCAACAACCTTTGAGAAGGTCAAACCGTGATACTTCTCTACCAAGTTACCTCGGTGATTACGTCCTGTATCTGTGTGAAAAGGTACTTCTCTTAATAAATGACGAGCCAAGTAGTTTTAAAGAAACAGAGAACTCCGAAGAGTGGAGCCTAGCATGCAGAGAAGAAATCGACTCGATCAATAAAAATAAGACATGGTTTCTGGTTGATAAACCACACGAGACTAAGATCATTGGTCTTAAGTGGGTTTTCAAAATCAAGAAAAACGCAGATGGTACAATCAACAAGTACAAAGCACGTCTTGTAGCTAAAGGTTATGTACAAGAAAGCGGCATAGATTTTGACGAAGTTTTTGCACCAGTTGCTCGACTCGAAACCATAAGACTATTAATTGCTTTGGCGGCTTCACACGGATGGGAGATCCATCACTTGGATGTGAAAACTGCATTCTTACATGGCGATTTAAAGGAGGATGTGTATGTATCTCAACCTGAAGGATTCGAAGTTATGGGTCAAGAACACAAGGTCTATAAGCTATCGAAGGCTTTGTATGGACTTAGAAAAGCTCCACGAGCTTGGAACACAAAGTTAAATCAGATTCTTAAAGGAATGAGGTTCAAAAAATGCTCTAAAAAAACCTTTGTATATCGTAAGGAAGAGGGAGACACTCTGCTCATTATCGCCATTTATGTGGATGATTTGTTTGTTACAGGAAACACCATCAAAGTAATAAACGATTTCAAAGTCGGAATGGCAACAAAGTTTGAGATGTCTGATCTAGGCAAGCTCACATATTACCTCGGTATGGAGGTATACCAAGGAGAAGATGTCATCGAAATTAAACAAGAAAGCTATGCGCTAAGGATTTTGAAAGAAGCAGGCCTCGAAGCATGTAATCCAACTCATGTACCAATGGAGTTTGGACTGAAAGTTTCTAAGGCGCAAGAGGAAGCAGAGATAGATGCCACGAGTTATAGAAGGAATGTAGGCTGCTTAAGGTATTTGCTGAACACAAGACCGGACTTGGCGTTTGCTGTTGGAGTTGCCAGCAGATATATGCAGAGTCCTCGCAAGTCACACGGCGATGTGATGAAGCAGATACTTCGATATTTCAAAGGAACAGTCACTTACGGTCTGAAGTTTGAGCGCGGAGGTTCAAAGAAAATAACAGGCTACAACGACAGCAGCCACAACATAGATCAAGATGATGGTAGAAGCACCACGGGCCACATATTCTATTTCGAATCTTCACCAATTACTTGGTGTTCTCAGAAGCAGGACACGGTGGCTCTATCATCATGTGAAGCAGAATTCATGGCTGCAACGGAAGCAGCTAAACAAGCGATTTGGCTGCAGGATATCCTCAACGAAATTACAGGTTGGAAGGCTGAGCAGATCGTTATCAAGATTGATAATAAATCCGCTATAGCTCTCACGAAGAACCCTGTTTTCCATGGCAAAAGCAAGCACATTCATAAACGTTATCATTTTATACGAGAGTGTATAGAAAGAGACGTTGTAGATGTGGAGCATGTTCCGGGGACTGAACAAAAGGCGGACATTCTCACCAAGGCATTGACGCGAATCAAATTTAAAGAAATGAGAGAGTTGATTAGTGTAGAAGACATGTTCAAGACCGATTTGAAGCTTAAGAGAGAATATTGGATAAGCTTCAACATTATCTTAAGTCTAAGATGCCAAATCTAATATGGTTATGATAAGATAGACTTAAGGAAACCCTATTGTAATTATGAGTTAGCTAATTCAATTAGAGAATAGGATTGGCAATGTGTGTCAAGACTATAAATACCAATGTCGAGCTGTGACATTGATATCGAGAACGAAGATGTTTAGTTTTTGAGTAATACTTTCTAAACATCAATAAAAGAGAGATATTCTTTTATACATAGTATGTTCTGTTCTTGGGTACTCTGTTCTTAGATCTTTTATAGTATATATATATATGTTTGTCTTCCGTTACCATTGTTTGTAACGATTAAGGAATTAAAAACACGAGGTCACCTTAAACTGAAAAAATATTAATCGAACTCGTTCTCCCAAAAGTTAGATCTTCACT